CGGAATCTGCCCGGTCTGCCTCCGCGAGCGCCTCGGAAGCCTCTGCCCCGACTGCGCCAACGTCCGGCCTTGCGGATGCTGCGCAACGACGTCGTCTTCGTCTTCCTCCTCTGGTGACGGCGCCGGATCTGTCGGGAGACTGTCGAGCCTCATTGAGAGCGAGCCGGCCTTCCGGCGCTCGAGGTCGGTGGCGATCCCGTTTCTCCGTTCGAGGTCGAGGTTCGTCGGCAGCGATAAGGACGCCGAGATAGGCGATCGGAGCTTGCCGCCGTCGGCAGGTAAAACGTCGGCGCTTTGGTCCGTGTTTAGGTTTCAGAAGAGTAAGCGAAGCGAGAAACGAGAAGGTAACGGCGAAAACGACGCCGATGCTATGAGGCGGACGATGATGATGAGGTCGAGGTCCGTGGCGGTTCCGATGGCGGCGAAGACGGCGGCGTCGGATTCCGTTACCGGAGATGTTAAGCCGGCCTCGAAAGGTCGGAGTTGGTACTTTCCGAGCCCTATTAAGGCTTTCCGGCAATCCAAAATCTCTAGGATTGTTCATGAGCGCTCGCCGTTGTACAGAGGCTAATAATACTTTTGTAGACAAATTATCATCAATATCCATATATTAATTTTCATATGATTAACATACCATAAAAACTGATAATTGTTCTTTTTTTTTTTTCCCTGCCATGGAAATCTATCATACATGTTGAACTTGGATGCAAATGTTGAGTAAAAAACAGTCAATGTAATAATTGGATTTGCAACAATGAATTACTATGGATTTGTTATGCTTGTTAAATTCAGCTTTGATTTGTAAATTAAAACTTTTTCGTTCAAACCGTTTCTATTACAGCATTTTTCATACAAAGTCTAAACAAATTTAAATTTCTGTTAAGTTTTTACTATATTATTTACTCTAATATAAATTCAAATTTAATTTTTTCATTCTATAATTTTCCTTAACATAAATTCACTTATTAATTTCAAATTTTTTTACTCCGACACGAACAATTCATTTGAAAATTACCAACTTTCATTGTACGTGGGAAGACTGGATTTTAGATGGTTGAAAATCCTGCCGTGTTATTAACTGCTTAATAATACCATAAAATTGTGGCAATTATGGTTCACAAGGGCACGTGGACATGTGTGAATATGCTTTGTATTAAAGTAATTATTATAACAAGTACCAACTACCAGCACAAAATGTGAGAAACCAAAAGAATGTAATTGTACTTCTTTCCTTCATTATATAAATGTACTTATGCAGTTTGGTCTGGTTGGGCAATGTAGCTTTGCTCTTTTTTTCTTTTTTCTTTTTTCTTTTTTCTTTTTTCTTTTTTTAAGTAATACTAGGAAAAATTAAATTTATGTATTAATGATAAACTCTTTAGTCTTCAGAAACCTTTTTTTTTTTTTTTTTGGGGCGTCGGCTTATTTTGGTTGGTTTTAATATTTGTGGGAAAATTTGACGTCGCTAACACAACTTTTGATTTTAGTTATTTATAAATTATATCCACTGGTTATGTCACTTTTTGAACTCAATGTCTTAAAACATTTATGGTCAGCAAAATTCTTTAGTTTTTGTTTGTCGTTGATTTCGTTGTAGGGCTTCTTTATGGTCCTAATTCCATCATTGCGCCATAAAAGCTAAATTACTAGCTCAAAAACACATAAAAGTGAGAGCCCTGAAAGCTCAAGCTCTCTTAGCTTTTTGTCTATAACAAATGATTGTAAACTGGCTTGCTTTATCATCTAATAAGGGAAACTGTTTCTTTAAAACTTGTCTTCGCATTTTATATGTGAAGATATTTGTAATTACGAAATAAAATAAAATAAAAAATTCCAAACTTTAGTTAATTATAATTTATAAAAAAAATAAATAAATGGAGATACAAAGAAGCAAGCAAATCTTTTGTTGTGAATGCTGCAGGATCATGGTTGAATTTTTCCTCGCAACTTGCATGTGATGTATAATTATAGCAATAGTTTGAGTCGGTCCATCCAAGGGATGTGGACAATTTATTATCTCTGGAATTATCTGATAACAATTGTTTTATTCCATGTCCTTGAAGGCCGAAAGAAGTTCCAAGGTAATGATGAGCGCTGATTACATAAATAATTTAATTTCCCCTACATGGTGGGCTTCGAATTATAATACAAAGATTTGACTATAATTAATACATTCCATTATTTTATAATCATAGATCAGTTGTGAGAGCAACAATATTTTGAATGCATGTTGGTCAAATATGTAACATTTGATTTAATTTCAATATTAAAAGCTTTTTAAATCACACGCCTATGCTGATTTTTCCGCTTGCCCAAATGGTCAGCCGTTCTACTGTAACAACGGGCAATGTATCTTGCTCACTACTCAAACATCTTTTCAACATTAATGAAAGCGAGATTTGATTTTATGTTTCTCGGACTACGTCACCAATATTATTAGCTATAAATATTTTATTGACCCAATAACTTTTGTGATTTCTGTTGGAAGAATATATTTATAATTAAATTCTTTCAATGATCCATTGTTGCAAACAACTAGCTAGCATAAATTGATATGTTTTAGCCAACAATTCCGCTTGATTGTATTTATTTTCGGTTGAATTACACTGTTACCTTCTGAAATTATCATATAATCGTAATTTGTTTCCTGAAAATTTAATTTGAATAATTTATCCCTTATATTTATCGATATGTAACAAACCACTCCAATTGATAGCGATGTTAGTTTTTTAATCAAAATGATATGAAATTTCCATATATAAGTCATTGATTAAGAGTATGAAATATCCTTTGTTTTAATAAATTTTAACCTATATTTATATTTAAAACAAAGTTGATTCAAAATTTTTATTTTGTTAAAACTTAATCAAAGATCCAGCCACCGATACATTTGGGTTCTTATATAAAAAAGTGGCCATTCATATCGTCAATTAACGACTCATGTGTAAGTTTAATATGTCAATTCTCGTCAATAAGTTTAACACGGTTATTAATTGGGAGCTATTTGCTACAAATTTGTAAATGTAAGGTGAAAATTGCTAAAAATCAAAAGTTCAAGAAATCAAATTACAAATGACCAATAAATTCAGCGGGCAATAACGAAAAAAAAAAAAAGATATTTCATCCATAAGAATTAGGTATCATACTAAAATAAGATAAACCTATAAGTAGTCTGTCTTAACTCAGGAATAAACAAATTTAAGCTTTACTAATAAGCTTTGATCACGTGCCGACACACCAAATACATATGGACTGAGAATCCTGTAGTAGATATGGAACATTAGCACATGGATACTTTGACTAATAACAATGTACCTATAGCTCATATTCACTCTGACAGATAATTTATATTGTAACTAATAATATATAATAAAGCATGCTCTAACTAACCACAACTATAACTGCCTGGCTTCTAATTTGGCTTTTTGGACAGTACAGATACAGACTAGTGGCCATAATGTTCGGTTTCATAAGAAATTCTTTTTCAAAAAAAAAAAAAAAAGGAAAAAGGAAAAAGAAATTATGTCCAAAACATGCATTAATAGAATATTATTAATCTTTACTAACTAATGTTAGCTATTATTAATTGTATTGCTATTCATTCATCTTAACTAATGAAATGTACATTAATTCTGGTTGTAGGCTTTGATCAAATGGTAAAATCCACGTCTCTTTTTTATTATTAAGGATTCCAAACCCCGTTATATTCCCCTTAAAAGAAAAAGAGTTACTTTTAAATTTAACTTTTGAGAAATAAAAGCTGTCTAATTTTGCCTCTTACAATTCAAAATAACACAAAACCGGCTCCCAAATTTTTTATAAGTTAAAACTTTGGTATTTCTATTAATGAAGCAACAATTTTTTTTAATAGTTTTAACCACATTTGCGTCACGTGACTAGTTGGTAAAAGAAAATATAGGAGAGCGATGGTAATATGGGAATTGCAAACAAAAAGAAGTCGACACTTATTCTATATTAAGAAAAAAAAATCAGCGATCTAACATTGTTAAAAAAAAAAAAAATCAGTTTCATTGATAAAAGTCCAGACATTACAACTTATGAAAAGTTGAGAGGCTAATTTTGTATCATTTTGAGTTGTAAAGGGCAAAGTAAGACAACTTCTTTTTTTCAGGGGTTAAATTTAAAATTAATCCAAAGAAAAAACAAGTTAATTATATTGGTTTAGCATGATTGCAAGTGGTCTTTTGTTAGTTGTTACAACATCATCATCGTCATCATTATTGATTAATTTATCATTATTGTTATTATTTTGCTACTGATGATTATTATTATTTTGCAATAAGAACAAAAACTTAAGATTTTCCTCTGCTAAATTTTCTTTCGTGTTCAACGGAACAATTCCGATACTAACTCCTATAATTGAATTTAACTTTTTTGAAGAAAGCTGACTAATAAAAGGTAAAACATAGAAAGATGCATAGTAAAAAAAAAAATTTGAGAAATTCTTATTAAAGCTTTTTAATTTAAAAAAAAAAAACACTTTGTCTAATACTGTTTGCCATTATTTTTTAAAGAAAAACAATGGGGACGCCCCCTATTGCAATTAAATTTTTTCGCTATAATCAAATATTTCCTCTTTAGATTCCAACTGAAATGTAGAATTTTCGAATCCCTTTATTTAGGACAATTTTTTTTAAAGCCTTTTCCTTTATATACGTGGTGCATGGATTTATATAGCCCTTGGACAATGCAAAAAATTTACACTGAACCGTTGTTGTTGTTGTTGTTGTTGTTATCATTATTATCATTTTCAATTTTCATCATGTGACAATTGACAGTTTTTTTCCCCTTATAAGTTATATAGTGGTTTTGTTTCCACTATCCATTGACATTCAATCCATGTCGTTTTTTTAAAAAAAAAATTAATTGATATAATTTCTTTTTATTATTTAGTAACTTAGATTTAAGTTGCACATACTTCTCAAAAATATAATATTGTCTGTAAATTCTCCTGAAAATAAAAAAAGAACTATAAACAACTTGTTAGACTGAAGAACAAGATCGTGTCTTTCATCCGCGCTTCACGCAGGTATATAAGGCGGCTGTGTGACTCGACTGACAAACTACTAAAAATAGTGTTATGCTGACCAGAAAAGTAGCTTCAAAATCTTGGTTTTAATGGGCAAATGATGCTAAAGGAATTAAATTATCACCTGTGACTATAGAGATGCTTTTGGGAAATTCAATGGGAACTGAATCTTTGCGTCTCAATCAGGATTTGATGGATAAAGACTGTACTGATAATGTTAATTACTATTCAAAGAAAATAAAGTTGAAACCAAAAAAGAGAATAGAAAGAGAGAGAGAAAGTAGCTTTGAAGAAATGGAACCTTTTGGATTGGATATATATTAATAAGAATTGTTGTTTTTAATCATTGAGTTAACTTTTTTAAGAGTTAAATTTGTGCATACTTGCATTAAAGATTTTCAGCGCCCAACATATAATTGCTTTTATTTTTAATCAAATTGTTGAAAAATTAATCTAAACATTAAAACACAGTTACTACTAATAGAGTAAAAATGCATGTCCTATTGCCCCAGAGAAAAAAGGCAAATTCTTATCAAACCAACTACAGATGTAACTTCAAGTCCCGAACAAGGCACATTACTCAGATTCAGCTTTTGCAAAAGGGTCCACATAAGCTAATCTTTTTTTATCTTTCCGAGTAGTGGTTCCTGTGTGATGGCTTTCAAATCTATGTAATCATCCATCTTTTTCAATGGTACTAGCATGCCCATGA